GAAACAGTGTCTTTAGTACAATTAAGACAAAGTAAGCATAACGTTTTCTTCATGAGGGATAGATTTATATATTTTAAGGCCAGACCAGATGATCTACTGCATATCATAGACCATTAAATACCACCAAGTTATCCCCATATCAAGCCCTATGCCTTGTACTTAACTACTTTTGTTTCAAAATGTTATCCAGTCTTTACCTGAAGACATCAGAAGGTTGTAGCCATCAGAATCCTGGGGGTGATTACAATAGTAAATTAACAACACTTAAAGTGAGCCCTGTTTGTAATATGAGTTCAGCTTTAGCTTCCAGACGCTGGTTCTTACTGAATCTTTCTCCCTTTATGACCTAAACACGTGGTATTAATAAAGGTATTAAAAGTATAACTACAGACACTGAAGAACAAGGGCTTATCAACTCAATGAGCACTTCTGCCTTGCAACATCTTTATTATGCCAAGATCATCCTTAGTTTAATGCTAGAGTCCTATAGAATGTTTTCAAGAAATCTTGAAACCATGCAAATCCTTCTAGTTTCCAGTAACATTGGCCACTCATAACTCAAACAAGTCAAGTCTCTTAGTGTTGAGTATTTAAGGGTGCAATTTCTGATTTTATACTTAAATAAGCAATACAAATAATGTATTATTGTTGTTGCTGTTGTTATTATTATTACTATTATTATTATTATTATATTTGTTTTACAGTTGTGTCCTAATTGCCATTAGCAGATCTGGGTTCCCTGATCAGCTTGCTGTAAATCAGAAAGAATCCCACCAGGAAGATTTTACAACCTAAGCAGAACAGAGATAGACAAAAAGTGGAAGAAGAAAGTTGTAATATTATTTCCATTTTGCAGACATGGCACTGGAACAAAGAGAGTGAATATGTTACCAGAATTACATTAAAAATACGGCAGAATTGAAAATTTAACTTCAGATTTATTGAAGCTTAGGCTAATACCTGACTCACAAGAATGGCCATCTTCTCATGTGAGGGAAAACAATGTTCAATAATGAATTCACTTTTAAATTTTTTTTTTTTTTGGAGACAGAGGTTGTTAGGGCCTTAAACTCCATGTGACCAAGGAGATACAACCCATGAGAATCAAAATCAGAGTAGAGATTAGCTTCTAATTTTTGTCCATCCCTAATAGAAATCTCCTCTTGTCACTGGTCACCCTTCAGGGTGGCAGGACAGGAAACTCAACCCCTTTTAAAACTAGCTTCTCAGATAATCATATAAGGCTGGTTTATACTTACAGGCTTCCATGAGTTTTGTTATTGACTTCAACTGGAACTGGATTAGTGTGACAAAAAGGTTAATATTTATTGACTGTTTAAAACCCAGTAAACTACATAATATTTTTATGTTGTTAAATTTGGGCTTTTATGTCACTAAGTGATCAGCAAAATAAATAAGGTTATGCCTACGTTGCATATATAGTCTAAACAGGTTAGCTCATTCACCAGAAATCTACCCACAGTAGCATAGAGCTCAGCATATACTCTTTGTTGGAATAAGTGAGCCTGTACTGAGTTTAGTGCTGCCACAACTAGACTGCTTCTGGTACCTGAATTAGGTTGGGTATATCCTCATTATGTTGCTGTCAGCAGTAGAGACATGCCCCAAGTTTCATGCTTATGTAGCACTGACGCTAGAGTATATTTGTAATCTCAACTGCTGCTAATCAACATGCATAAATGACTTGAACTCACTCCTGTTTTGTTAGGAGTATTGCTACAGAACCCTTAAGTCATCCTATTACTATTACTACTACCACTATTTATTTATACTGAGGGAATAACTGGAGGTTTAGAAGACAGGTACTGCTGTAAAGAGTTTACAATCTTAATATATAACAAGAGATTATAGAAGGATGAAAATGTAAATGGAGGTAGATTAAGAACAGGTGACAAAAAGATATTGGATATAAAAAGCACAAAACTTAAAGAGTGATACAAAAGCCAATAGTATAGTATAGTATAGTATAGTATCTTCATAGATATTTTGGGATGCTCTTTCCATGTATAAGACATGGCTTGGGCGAAGCATGGAAGTGCTTGAGTAAAAATTGGATTTATGAATGATGAAGTTAGTGCAGCTGACCTAAAAGTTATGGCAGGTCAGCATCTTGATAGTATGTCAAAATTCACAGGTAGCCAAGAGTTCATACAAAAAGGGTGTAAAGGAAAAGTAGCTTGCATCTGAAGTGGAAGAGGAGAGGAAGGCATAAGATGGATGAAGAAAGGAGGACAACTCTATAGTAACAGTGAGACAAAGAAGGTGATCTTAGCAGCAGCAGCATTTTGAATGGACTTGTGACAGGCAAGATGCTTCTGTCAAGGCCAGAAAGTAGAAGCAAGACAATCAAAACCTAGATGAGTTTTTCAGTTGTTTAAATTGAGAAGAATGGCCAGATTCATTCAATTAAGTTATACTGATGCCAACAATGTAAGCAGGATCAGAATCTGATATTGGATTCTTTTTTGATAGCTTGGATTCCTGCCTCAAAAATGTGTCTGCCTTCATAGTTATAATTGCTATGGAACATGATGCAGTTTTCAAACAAAGGAACAGAATGAGAAATGTATACCTAATGGATTTATTTCAGCTCCCACATAAATCTATTATATATTAATAATATTACAAATAATTATATCTCAACTACTGTTGTCAAAATAAAGGAACAAAGCCCACTTTGTGACACATTATCCTTGCTTTTTTGCATATGTTGCTCTACTCGTTAATTCAGTGATTGCAATGAATCTCCCAATTCATAGATTTTAAGGCCAGAAGGGTCCATTAGATCATGTAGTGTGACTTCACGTATCTCACAGGCTATAGATTTTACCCAGTTACCCCTGTACATTTTTCTTTGCTGAGCTAATCACATCTAATCACATTAAGCTCTTTAAATTTTCCAGTTATTTCCACCCCCCTCTTTTTATGCTGTTTCCAAATTTTGGACATCCTTGGGCTCTCTTGTGTGTATATTTCCCAGGCAAAGTGTTACATTTGTCTGAAATCTTTTTTTGTCCAACAATACAACAAAACTTCATCTGTTACTCTTCCATTTCTCTCTAAAACATTACAGTTATTGCTACTGAAAATATTACATTAAAATCAGCACATCTGCATGATTTGTGAGAGAAAACTGCTTTTTTAAAGAATAGGGTATGTACTTTTGAAAAGATTAAACTTGGACATTCACAAATGTTCTCACTAGCCGCTGAAAAAAGTGAAGAGAAGGTAAACACACTATTGCAGAGGCAGCACATTCCCACTTTATGTACAGAATCTCTCTACTGTGTGCATGGAATACCACTGTCCCTGTCTTTACTGGAAAATCAATTTCAGTGTAACTAGTACAGATTTAAGACCCTGCTTGAGTACATGATGAGCAACAGAGCTTCAGACCTACACACCCATGAGTAACTTGCTGGAGAAAATTCCAACTTCAAATGGGCCCAAGCCCAAGGAAAACTGCCTAAACTTTACAAAGAACGTTATCTCCAAAGTGTGGGAACTAGACCAGGAATCAAGTGCATGAGGTCATGGGACATTTCCCCTAAGCTACTGTATGAAATCCTTCACTTACATGGCAGGCAGGCAGACAGGCAGTCATATATCCTTCTATCTTAGCCCATCACAACAAATGCTTTGGAGTATTTTGTTTCATTTCCACTCTGAAGTTCATTAAGCATGAGCTCAGACTCAAACAAATGTCAGCAAGAGTATATTTTGGATTTACCCAAGTTTAAATCATGAGACCTGGAAAGAAAGAAAGCTTTAGTAAGTCAACCATTTCCAGAACAGAACTTGAAGTACAGATGATAGCATTTAGAAGTTGTAATATCACCCACCCACATTTACCCTGTCAGTGTTTAAAGTGCAATGTACCCATATTATTTGACCAAGTTAAAAAAAAGATTAGTAAGAAAGAAGAAAGTGAAGTATCTTAACATTTCTACCAGCTACTCATGTCAAGAATGTACAGGCCAATGTAACAAAACTACACCATTAAGTTCTGCTTTGACTGAGAAGAATAATACTTTTTGACTAAGTTTTAGGATGAGGCAGGCTAACAGTTTAAGTAATGAAAGGCACCTTTACATATCACTGTATGTTGATGTTGGTATGGCACTGTGCTTCAGTACTTCCTTTTGGAAATACTAAAGCATGCTTCAGTATGGGTAGTTACTGCGCCATGTGTGCAGAGCACGGTGCGCAGTGTGCGCAGTACATCGCTGTAGCAGTGCGCTATACTGGGGGTGTGTGCCACTATGGCAACATAGCTACCAATCACGTGTAGATCCATGTGATCACTACATTGCCGTAGCGTGCCATACGGCGACATAGTGCATTGCTATGTCGCCATAGGGCAATGCGTAGATGCACCTGAACACTACTGAATTTTTAAACCAAAGAAGTGCCTAACCAAATAATTCCTTTCTTTTCCATTAAAAAATATTCATCACCATATATTACTATTACTTCTAGACACTGGTAACTTCAGGTATTTGCTTAATGTTCTATAATGCATTTGACATTTATCATAGTGCTCAGTCCTAAAAAAGTAATTATCCCCACACATCTGTGCATGAATGCATATTATTTAGTCCTTAAAACAAACTGTCTGCTTTCCATATAATTATCTGCATTAATGTTTCCACTGGCATTATTTTGGGTATGTCTGCATGACAAACAGGCTAGGCTAGCCTAGGCTACAAACTGAGCTTGAAAGCGTGAAAATAAAAATGTATCTGTCGCAGAGCACCCCGGTGCTCTGCTCCTAGAGGGAGAAACTGCCAGGGAGAGAGAGAGAGCCCTGGCAGGTCATAACGAGCCCAGCTGAGTGTTGCCAGGGTAACGAGCCCAGCTGCGGGTTGCCGGGGCAGCTAAGGGGAGCCAGCTGCCTGTAGGAGGCAGGGCCTGGCCCTTATAAAGCCCAGGGCGGAGAGCAGGCTGGTAGTTCCCTGCCAGCAGTTGGAGAGGCAGGAGCTCCCTTGGCCAAGATGTAGCAAGAGGCCTGACTTGTAAGTACAGCTCACTATAGCCCTGAGAGGATGGGGCACTATGGTTTAGCCAGGAGGCTCTAGTTTATGTTCAGGCTTGCATATTACACCGGAGGCTTGGGTGAGGCTGTAGGGGATGGAGGAGGCCTCATAGGGACCCCAGAGAGGTGGGGCCCCTGAGCGCAACCAGTGGGTTGCGGGCGGGGAACAGACCCCGGGTTGTATGTGGCGAGCCCCGAAGAGGGGGAGCGCCATATTGGGTGGGGAGCCCAGGACGGGCGCAGCAGATGCCAGCAAGGGCGTCACTTACACCAGAGGCTTGGGTGAGGCTGTAGGGGTTGGAGGAGGCCTCATAGGGACCCCAGAGAGGTGGGGCCCCTGAGCGCAACCAGTGGGTTGCAGGCGGGGAACAGACC